ACTGATGCGAATTTGAAACCTGCCGAAACTCTCTAATGTCTGTCACCATGGAATTGCCCATATACTTGCTAAAACTGTAGATTTTCTGGTTTTGCCCAATTAGTTACTTTGCGTTATTATATTTCTCTTCATTTGTGTATTTATCATTAATTTAAATGTAAAATTGAGGTTATGTTTGTATATCAATGAGAGAAATTTTAAAAATGTATATAGTTGGGCACCCTAGTTGTGGTAAATAAATATTAGTCTCAATGAGGAACGCCCTCTATTGCCCATGAATTGCTTACATGTATGACTGTTTAATGAATGAATTAATGTATAATAATAACAAAATAAAATGGAAATTTCTATAGCGCCGAATCATTTTAAAAAAAATGCTCCCTAGCTCTTGACAATCAAACTATTTATATAAATAAAAGGAATATAAATACAATTTTACTAATGTGATTATTTAAAATTCAAAGTGTATGATCCACACTAACAATTGGTTTAAACATGATGCATAGGAGTGCTTTGTTACAAGGTGTAAGATATGGTTGACATGAATGAAATCAAGCCAAACTTGTGTGATGTAAAAGATGTTATCAAACAAAGTTTAACATTAGTAACTTCTTTGCAATATACAATTGAAACTGTCTTTTTTGTAAAGTGACATTTTGAAACTATATTTCTAATAGAAAAAAGTTCTGGGAGGAAAAATCCATGTTTTAAGGAAACAAAATCCATAAATATTTGCTTTTTGAGATGTCCTTAAATTTATGGAAAGACAAGGGAAATGGAAAGTGTTTTTGAAATAATTTGAGCATTCTAAAATGAATTGGCATAAAAATCTAGTCAGATAGACACAGTTATTGTACTATAGAGGGCAGTATGCATATATTATCTGTAACATGTTTGTCAATCAATGTTTAACTTATTTAAATTTAGTTGTACAAGCAATTATTCCTGAAATAAGGCGTAACTGTATTGGAACTGGTATTGTTTTTCTTTTTGAAGTGGTTAAAACATTTCAGAATTTGAAAAAAATAGTTGTATAAGATTTGAGGCAAAAATCACGGACAATTTTAAGTAAAATCGAGATTACCAAATTTAAAAACCTCCATTTTCCACATTCAAACAAAAGTTTGGCCTTTTATAGTTTAAAAACCACTTTGTGCGCTCCCCCCCCCCCTCTCCCGAAGGATAAAATTAGTGAACAAATTTAACGTAGGACTTTAAAATATTGAACATTGACAAAATTTAGAATCTTGTAAAGGGAAGTAAATTAACGTCTACATTTATTAAACAGAATTGTGTTTCTTGTTAAATACATGTATGTGAAGTTTAAAAACTGTAATATTAACTTAAAAAAAGTGTGAAATAGGTTTGTAAAAAGTGTAAATAAAGGGCAACAATAGAAAGAATATGGAATAAATGTCTAAATTGAGAACCAGAATTTTGGGTCTGTTGTAGTTTCCGTCTGAATATTCAGTTTTCTGCTTTTTATTATTCAATTATTCAAATGAGCCCAGGCGGCCATTTTTTTTTTTTTTTTTTTTTAAATTGCGCAATCTAACCTATAAATATAGGTTCCGAGAACAAATTTTCGAAGAGGCCAGTGGCCTGGTGGTCCAGCTCGCTGACCGCCAGGCGCCGGGTCCCCAGTTCAAAACCCAGCCGGAGACCCGGGAGGAGAATTTTTCCTCACAGCAGTGATAAAATTTTAAAAATATATAAAATAGTAGCATGGAGCAGGGTTGAACCGCGTACCTTCTGCATGCCAGCTCTCTTCTTTTCCGCTCTGCCATGGCACTTTCTTGAAAAAATCTCCGGTTATCGTAATTAAAACCCTTAGGTTGTTGGACTTAGACAATTTTTCAGCTTTGGCCAGAATTTCAGAAATCAAGGGGTACCCCTTGAAATTTTCTCAGATCTGAGGGTCTGAGGCTGGGAGGTTGAGAAGTTGGGAGCTGAAGGGGTTTGGAGCTGGAGGGTAGGCTTTGGGACTTTGGGCTGACTGGTTGATGGCTGAGAGGGAACTGGAATATTAGTTGAAGGGCTTCCTGACTGATAGGTCTGCAAGTTGATAGGACTAGGGAGGGTCTTGGGGATTTTTGGACTTAGAGTTTATTTGGCTGGACTTAGATTTGGGAACATAATTTCCTCATATTAGTTGGACTAAATTTTTGACTGAATTTTCAGACTTCTTTTTTGAAGCCCTACCCTGTCTTGTAAGTTCAGATCTGTCTTTGCAGCCAATCATCAGTCAGACTGGTAGTTAGCCTTTTCCTTTTTTTGAGATTGCTGAACTTGTTGAAGCCTGCTAGAGGCCACATAAGACTGCTGGAATGCTGGTTACCAGTGGTGTGTGAGGTAGATGTAGACTCTTAGCCTGAGGGTCTCGATGCAACCTGGTTGAAGGGCCTTCCTCACTTGACCGTGTAGTGTGCCGTCAAAATGGGTTTTCATGCTTCAATGATTTTGTATGGCTTATCGCCCTCTCCTGGCAAGGTGTTTAGAGGTCACATGATAGTCTGGTGCCGGTGAAAATTTCAGGATTTTTAAACAGGAGTAATTTTTACACTTAATTTTTAGAGGTATGCCTAAATGTTTGCAAATCTTAGATTTGTTTCTCAGTGCAACAGTATAATGCAAAGTTTCTACGGCTTTGATTATATTTTACATTAGTACTTTTCTAAATGTTTAATCATTTTTAAATTTTATGGAGTTCTTCATTGAAGACTTTACTTTATGAACAATCGATGGACACATTTTTAATTAAGCTCAGCATATATTTCCAGAATTGTTGTCCAGACAAATTTGTTGTTCTTGTTGCGTATTACGAATATTTTTCATTCCGATTTAAACTTTCACGCAGAACACACTTCGTTGTTTTTGTTATATTAATTGAATTAATTTGCTGTTGAAATTAAATAGACATCGTCTCCAAAACCAGTGTGTGGGGTTTTTGGGGACTTTTTTTGGCATTATTTTGCATTGCCATTTTCTCGCTAGAAATAGTTTGTTTTAGTTACAGTAACTGTATTGTTTGATATTCCTGTTAAAATTTTTCAGGCTTCACAAAAACGTCATGATGAGTTTATAACGGAGGAAATTTCACTTTAATACCATGGGTATTTCTCATGATATCCCCCAGACAACGAGTATGTTCTGTTGCATTAGGTCGAGTAAAAAAAAAAACATGTTTCTCGTCCGGGATTTTTAAACAAAAGAGGAAGCGGGGCTTTTTATTTTTTATTTTTTTCAAGATGGCTGCCATTGAAAAATTTCCTGCAACTGTTCGTGTTTCCAGTGTTCAAAGACACTTTTAAAATGAAAGATAAGTTGGACAAGAGAAATGAACATATTTACAGAGTCATTTAGACTTGTATTGTCTACAATTTATTTGCTGATGAATTTGTGGATTTTTTGGTGTTTTTTTACTGCATTTTTCAAAAATAAAGAAAAATAAAAAAATCCAGGCGGTCTCCAAAAAGGAAGCAGGCGGGGACGAGAAACATTTTTTTTCTTCTTTGCCTTAATGGTTGATTTAATTCGCATTGTACTTGTTTTCCTGCTGAATTAACACACTCTACAATATTAGATTTGACAATTCCTCTTCAAATTTGAGCTGTTAAAGATGTCACATTTTCAAATTTTTGTGACGCGCATCGGCTGCGCTGTATTTTGGCGATATTCTAAGCAACAGGAGCGCATGTTTAGAACATTTTGCACACTACGCGCACATGGTGTTGAACACGCAGTTGTAATTTTCCTACAAAGATGGCGTCCTATGAGAGAGATCTATTGGAGAATCCGGGCCTCGTCATCACAACCAACCAACAAACAAAATTTCAATTGACTTGCATTCTGATTGTACTTTTTCCACTGAACACACTCCATTGTGTTTTGTTTTATTCTTGCAATAAAAAACTATGGGAATTGTTACACACTCCCTGTTATTCTAGATTTGTATCTGCACATGTGCACTTAATCAGGCCATAGAGCTATAGTAAATTATTAGAGAGCTTATTCATATATGAATAGGATGAAGAATGCTGGGCGCATGCATCTATGTTTGTGCTTAAGTCATCAGAAATTAGCTCAAAATGATGTATGTTTAAACATTTCAAAGCTGTTAGTACAACTTTCATTTCATTCTGTGCTTTCACACTAGTGCGCTGCACGGATTTTTGCATTTTTTTCACTGTAGATCACGTGCCTGCTCAGCCATATATCTGTTATATTTTGGCAACACATTAAGCGCACAAAACTCAAAAGAATTGATGTCATATTGGCGACGTGACTTGCACATTGATCTCGCTACATGTACATTCTTCAAGCACTGTGTTGAGCTCAGACAACTTTGAAGTGTGCAAGGGAATGAGGAGTAAACGCTCTCATAATTTACTACAGCTTTATGGAATGGACATTTTAACTGATAAACTATTACGGAGACAACAGAGGTCAAAGGTCACCCAGGTTCACTGACCTTTAACGTTGTAACGTACATGTCAACAAAACATATCTTCCACTGACAGTTTCCAAGATTCGTTTCAATTAACTTCAAATTTTTCAAACATTAGTAGCCTATCATCTTTTTACATACAAAAGTAAGCCAACAAAAAAGCAAAGGATTTTTCAATTGTTTTACAGTGAGGCCAAAAAAAAAATACTCGGTCTCTGGTCAGACCAAAGTTCCGGATTTGATGCGGCCACACGGCTTTTTGTTGTTGTTTTTTTTGTGCTTTTTTTTTCAAGCTTTGATTGGATGCACAGACAAGATGGGGTACTATTTTGCTTTTTTTGGTGTCCTCATGTACATTGGTGTCCTCCATATTTTGCCTTGGTGCCCTTGATCATTTTCCTTGGTGCAATTTCCCATTCCTTGGTGCTCTTTGGTTAAACAATTAGAGAAGGTGCAGCAATAGAGGGCGCTGTTGGAGCTACCGTGGAACATTTTGGAAAAAAGACACAGTTTGACGCGCATGATTAAAAACGACGTGCGCTCACCAGAGACCTTTTTTTTTTTGGCCTAACATAAATAAAGTTAAATACAAACTACTCGCAGTTTACGTCATCATCTTCACTTTCACAGAATACAATTTTTTTTATTCCAAGGCCTAGGCCTAATTATTTCGTTTTCATTCTTTTCTCTGAATTATGCTGTCAGCAAATTTTTTGGTAGGTGAGGCAACAAACCCACAGACATATAAATGCATAGACCGCCAGGTCCTATTCAAACTACATGAGCATTTCGTGATTTGCCTAGCGCCCGACTAAAATCAAAACCATGGGCAAATTCACCTCTCGGTATAAATGAACTGTATTTTTATGAACTGTATTTAAATGTTATTGTACTGTACTAAGAGCGTTGGTGCATTGAGTGGCATCGCAGTTATGCGCGCTGTCAACAAACATTTTGCCCAATTATTAAATCATGGTTTCACGCGCACCACTGGTGGTCTATGTGTTTATATGTCTGTGAACAAACCAGATAGCATTATGGCGCCCTCTATGGCTACTGGCCATTGAAGAAAAATTAATTAACTTAACTATCTCTTGTGGATGCTGCAGCTGTGACGAACAGCGCCCTCTATAGGAATGGACGGAGAGGTGTCCTCACGTCACATGACCAGCTGGCTCCATGCTCCCCACACCTGGAAAAATAAGGGACGAAATTGCAAATTTAATTAATTTATCACATTTAAATTAAAAAAAAACATTGAAAATCAAAAATGAGGATTGTTTTGTTAGGTGACTGAGGGTAGTTGATCCCAACTTCATGTAATGCTGTTGTGCAAATTTTATTTTAGAACGTGTAGTTCATGTAAACAAACTTTTTTAGGGCCCCTCCCTGCAAAATAAACAAAAGAAGTATTTATGGGAATATTGAATTCTTTTGTTTCAAAATTAATGCGCCTTAACACTTCTGTTTCTCTGGGAATATTTGAGTTTTCTGAGCAGCCACTTTAGACCTTTAATGTTTAACAACTTCAAAGATTGGGCATTCACTACATCAGGAACACATTGAACTTGGCCTGAAGAAGGATTTTGCAGTAAATATTCAAGGAATTTATGAAATGATGACAGATTTTCAGACTGTCTCCCAATTGCTGCAGCTAGCAATAATGCGCCGATATGAAAGCGGCTGATAGACACGTGTTACTGACGACCATATATGTGAGGCGTTCTGGCAAAATGAGACAGAACTGGGCAGAGGTTGAAATGGGGGTTTGCAGGTATTAGGAAAGAGAATAAACTTCTCCTTGCAATACTGTTTGTTGCACTCCCATCAGACATTTTATTGACAAGTTATGGCTCACTTTAAAGTTTGCATTTATCGACATGTCAAAAAAGCAAAATACTAAGAAAAAGGCCTGTAAAGTTTCCAGTTTTGTATTCATGAAAATGAAAGATGCCAATTATCTTTCCTTAAAAACTCTTGTATTCCATGATTTTTAGACTACATTTTTTACTTACTTATAAGAATAGCAATAAATCTGAAAGTCGAAAAACAAAAATCACCCCCTATCATTTGTTTTGCATTTTCCCTCCACTACGGCCTGTGCCCAGTTCCGTCTCATTTTGCCAGAATGCCTCACATATATAGCCTGATAATATTGACACAGACTTAAGCTTTGAGACAGGACCCACCTTTGGATTGGTGCCGTGAAGTTGCATGGTGGCTACAGGGTTCCAGACCACTCCCGCCATTCCATGAGCTGTCACCCCTCCCCCATCTCCCATGGCCATGTTATGATGCATGCCAGACATTGGCTCATGTTGCTCACCAAACCGGCTGACAGGTGTCTGTAGGAAATAACCAGGGGAATAAAGTTAGAGCTCGCAAGCATGATGACATTTCAGTAATGTCTTGAGATACACAAGGTACATCTTGATGAGGTTTTGATTTCTCTATTTGATTTTCTCAATGATCGCTGTTCAGTTTGTGCTGGTCCCAGAGGGCCAGCCTACAATCCTCTTTGTACCTCAAGGATCGACTCACTGTCACTTGTGAGCTGGGCAGTGCTGTTGTATAGGATTACCCTGTAACACCAATGAATGGGCTAAATCAATTGAATAGGACTGTGTGTACTCTGGAACCAACTTGAATTGCCTTGTGTTGTTGTAAACGGTTTTCAAGTCCTGAACTCATGCTGATTGAGTGTAGTGGGGGTGGTGGAGGGGTGAGATGCTTACTTGTTCATTTGGAAGCCATCCTCTCTTGACAGTGTCTGGATGGGGGAAGTTAGGCATCCTGTTAGCTGCTGTGCCTGGTATGTCCTCTAAGTTGATACTTGGGATCCAGTCACCACTGCTCCCTGGGGGGGGGGGGGAATTCAGAAGAAACAAGACATTTGTTTTAAATCCGCCATTTACAAGTAAAGTATTCTCTTGAATGGATGATGACTAATATTTTGCTGATCTGCATGTCCTGTATGTCCATTGGTTTTAGAAATCACAGTAGTCTATTTTTAAATTATATTTTCATGGCCTGAACTGAAATGTTATCGTATCCATCTGAGTTGATTTTTATAACATTTTTTAAATAACAAGGATCTTTTAGCTAAGTTCTTCAATTAGGATCTACGAGCCAAGGAAATATGAGACTATTTCACACTCCTATTATCTTGATGCTCCAGATATAGTCAGTTTTCATGCATCTAATGAAAGTGTGTGATAAATGAAAACTGAGCTTACCTGGTGTATAAGCCCAGATGCTACTCCCTGGTGAACCAACAGGGTAACCCAGATCACTGACAGGTACAACAACAAAGCTGACAGGTGTCTTGCGTTGCCCTCGACTACGCCCATTGCTGATTGGAATTGGTAAGCGGCGATCTTGACCAATGGCTGCTGGAGGCAGGGCCTGAGGCTGTTCAGTTGCCATGGTGACCAGACTGGACGTGATGGTTGATCAACAAAGTGAGCCTCCATGAACTGCTCAAAATGAAATTGAAATGAAAAAAATCATGAATAACAACACATTAATACAATGTCTTTTTTCATAATTTTGAAGGCTTTTGTAATTGAGTACAAATTGCGAGTACACACAAGGAGACAGTTTACAGTTACACCAAGTGAAGTGACTGTCTAATGATAAGGGAATAAATATGTGCTTGTCTGGTTTTAAACAAGTCCGTTTAAGACCAGCTGGAGGCTTGGGCACTGATAATGGCGATGCGAAAAGTCCAGCATATTTTTATTCCCATTCATAAATACGTTTTCAGTCAAAAAGTTAAATCAAGTAAAAAAGATATATTCCCTGTGATTTTGGTCAACAACTTAAATTAACTTCATGTTTTTTTAACACCCCTCTAGCTTTGTCATGGTATGTGCCTCTCGCAAGTAGTGGTAAACAACATCTTAGATGGAGATTGGCGCGTGATGCGTGTACTGCGTGATATGGAGCAGGATGCGCAGTGCTGGTGTAGTGTGAATTTAGCACTGTGATAAATACGGACTCATTGGTAGTATTGCGCATGCCTAAGGGAAAATTGTGAATGTTTAGCCAATAAAAGGTTCAAAAGTGCAGACCACATTTCATGGGAGTTCCAATTTCATGCGACACCAGAAAAGTATTTAAAACCAGCCAGCCAGTAATTAAGACCGGCCACGTGACGGGCTCTCAGAATGGGTAAACTGTTGTAATTAGGTACATGTATTTATTCGTAAAAAAAACACACTTTTAATCCATGTTTTTTATATTTCTTTAAAATATCTGAACCGTACTAGACATTTCAAAAATTACCAAATTCAATAAATTAAAAAAACCCCTCCTTTAATTGTGTTTTTTTTTGGGGGGGGGCATTTTTCTCTTCTACAGTCTGTGCCCACTTCTGTCTCATTTTGCCAGAATGGCCATGTCAAAAGACTTCACTCCTTTTCTGTTAAACTATGCCTGCATCAACGATTTGCAAGACTCTCAGGGGGGGGGGGGGAGCAAAAGTTTAATTGTACTCACAGTCTGGATGCGGCCTCTGTCATGCTCTCATCCCCATCAATTCTGTACACAATGCCGTACATGACGTACTCAAGCTGTCTGCCTTGGTGGGTGTGCTGTCGTAAAGGGGTGTGTACTCCCCATCGTCAGGGTAACCATAACCGTTGTTGCCAGAACAAGGCGGAATTTATCACCTGAAAAAAATAACAAAGAAATTAATACAAAGAAATTAATGAACTCCCTTGGGCATCGCCACGATTTTTTTTCCGGGGTGGGGGGGGGGGGTGTGGGGCAATGCAAATATTTCCAAAAAATTCCTTATCTTTTTCATTATATTCTCAATTTATTATTTTTCTGAGCATGAACAGGGGAGCATTTTACCCTACCCCCCCCCCCCAATCAAATTAAAAGCAATATGGCTTCGCATCTATTTTTCCTATTTTCCCCTTTTTTTCTTCGTTTTGCAGGGCCCCCCCTTGCGACGCCCATGTGAATTCACCTTGACTTATAAGTCAGACATGCAACTGGGAAGTCACAAAAAAAAGAGGGAATTCAAATCTTTCCAAGACTTTGTTCAGTGTTTTTCTATTTTCAATGGCACACATGGGAAGTGAAAAAGGAGGAAATCAGCTGATCTGAGGAAAAGTTGCATGCCTGATAAGTGCTGGTGGTGCACATTCAGATTATTCCATGCGCAGATTTTGTACATCAGTATTTGAATCCTCTTGTCTGAAAAGAACCAAAACTTGGGTCTTACAAAACAACTGTGAGAAGGAACACTTGAAAGTCCCACCTGAAGCACCAGAATAAATATACTGACATTCAAAGCAAGACATGCTTACATACAATGTATTTAAGTTTCTCAAATATCTTTTGAAATAATTGAAACATTGCAAATGATTCCAGATACTGGCCATAACCTTAACCGGGCTCCTCAATCCTTTAAAATCTTCCCGGCGGTTTTGGAGAATTGGGGAGGATTGTGGCTGAATGGCAACAAAATGTCGGTTGATTTTGGAGCAACATTGTGTTGAGTTTGTAGGCTGTATTGCTTATGTTCAGTCATGCATAATTGAGCCCTGCATTATGCTCCATATCATCCTCACTGCTATGTCATCGGCACTGCCTCAACCCATTAGCAGTAAATTGTTGGAAGATTTTGAAGGATTGAGGCAATGGTTACCCCTCCACTGAACAAATTTTTAAAAATTAATGATGATTTTGGAGGATTGAGGCTGCATCTAATTTTACATGTGGCAATTGGAGGATTTTGAAGGATTGAGGATGGATCCTAGCCAAAAAGGCCGGGGGGGGGGGGGGGGAGGGGGGGGGGGAGGGGGGGGAGGGGGGGGGGTAATGCAGTCATCCTCCAAGAGTGATTATGAATAGCAAACTACCTACCCCCCCAAAAAAATTGTTTGAAGTCACTCTGAATGATATGTGGTGAAGTAGCAAGTAACGGGGACAGGGAAAATGTCACACTTTACCTAACTGTATTGAATGACACACATACATGCACCAGTACATATAAAGTGGGTAGGGGTTGGGCTGGCATTGTTGTAATTAAATAAAAAAAATACCACCCCCCCCAAAAAAAAACCCAAAAAAAGGGAGAGAGAAAAAGCAAAGGAAACTTTGGGTAATGAAACACTTTGGTGGATCATGTTTTTCCACAAAAGTTAACAAAAAACCAAGATACATGTACAGACATATAAACGCATAGACCGCCAGTCGTGCGCGTTAAACCGTGATTTACAAAAAAGTGTAGACAAAACGCTTGTTGACAGCGCACGTAACCGTGCGACGCGCGTTCAATGCAGATACGCGCTTAGGACAGCACACATTTACATACAGAACATAAATTTTTAAGTTAAAAAAACCTGTTTTACTCACAATCCGAGTGAGAAAGTTGTGCACATTATTGTTTTTTAATTTACCTAAAACATAAGTACACAAGGGATTTTTTTTTACAATCAAAAAATAACTTCAAAGATTTTTTTTACTGGAATAGTTCAACTGTGTGTAAAAGCCCTATACCGAGAGGTGAATTTGCCCATTTTTAGTTTAGTTTTTGAATAGGACCTGGTGGTCTACGTGTTTATAATGTTTGTGGATACATGTACATTGACCAAAAAAAATCCAAGGTGAAAAACTACATAAGCCAAGAGAAAGATAAGCTTCATCTGACGTGGAGGTTTGGAAAGTGAATTACTTCCAACAAGGAAATTATAATATTAATTAAAATATACAAAGGGTTTTTCAAAATGAAAGTGTTTAAACACTCATTCCTGTGCTTTCCTGTACATGTGCACTTTCATTTCTACTTTTGCACATTTAAAAATCTTGTTTGGGTGATAGCCTTTTTTTGTAATTTAGCTTTTATTAAACAGAGCTTTAATGTACAGAGAACTTAAAGTGTGATGTCTCTGAAGTCTTTGAAGATTTTAGAGAACTTAACACACGTTTTTCTCTAAATGTTTTTCTAAACTAAATCACAAAGTACGTGTATTATAATACAGCAAGCAGTCAATGAGGCGAGACATGCATTTAGTTTCTCTCTAATTGCAAAGAATGTTTTCAAATGTTGCAGTTATTTAAGCCATAAACTTATTGAACTATGAAATTTTGGGTT